AAACTGAGGGTGGCGACACTGCGGGATGTGGTGTCGGCACCGGCCAGGAGCTCCTTGTGCTGCTTCTTGATCTCTTCCTTGAGGATGCCGTCGAGCTTCTTGTCCAGACGTCTGATGGTGCGTTCGTTCTCGGTGAAGTATTCGCGCATCCAGTTCTTGCCGGGGATACGCTTGTTGAAGGCTTGCGATAGGGCGCGATATGTAAGTAACACCTCGCTTTGCTTGCCCTCGATTTGAGCGTTCAGATCCATATCAAAAGTGACAATGCCTGGCATTAACAATGAGTACACTCCAAATTCCGTAGGTGTCTTTTCAAACTCACCGATAACATCGAAGGCCAGGTTTGTGGTGTACTCGTCGATAGTAAACTCTTCGCCAGTAGCAGCCTTCTGCTCCATAAGCTCGATAAAGGTCTCCGACTTATCCAAGATGACCTTCACTAGACCGAGAAGATGCGATGGGGCAAAGCCGGGAAGAATTCTCTTTCGCAGTCCCTTCCATTCCTCACCCTAAAGTGCAAGCGTCTTGTCAGTCTCACGATCCTACCTAACTACAGCAGCACCATGCGATGGACTTACATCCGTCGTTACGAGAGATCGTGCGCCGACCAGAGGGGCCAGATGTTGGATGGCGGGGTGCTTCGGCACGCTAGTACTGTACTGCTTCGAGGGCTTGGTGACCTGTTCGGCAACCTCGTTGTCGAGGATGAAAAGAATAAGGAACTTTTCGATCGGTCGCCAGTCCACCAGCAAAACGGGAGGGAATCCAAGCTTCTCGGCCTGTTCGTAGAGAATCTCATCTACATAGTCGCAAAGCATTAGCACGCCGTACGATTTGTGTCTCGTTTCCCGAAAAGCCGCAACGTGATGCAATTGCAACGCCGCCAGGACCTCCCCGTTACTGATTTCCGAGATTGAAACGTACCAAAAGCCCTTCTAGGATCACCCAGACCGGCGGACTTCTCAATCCACGGCCAATGACCCCTCACTGGGTCGGCCTCTTCAGGCTGCGGGAAGTGAGAGTACTGCTTGATGTCGATACCCGGTGTGGTCTTCGTCCGTCTGAAGTAGTATACCACGGCAACGGGGATCGCGGCCAACACGAGAAGCTTCCATTGAAGGAGGACACTGAGCTTCTCAAAGTTCTGTGACGTGACAAAGCTGAGGAGAGCCATCTTTGCGATCGCGTGGGGGTTGAGGGGTGAAGCCGCCTCAACTAGCCTCTAGATCGTGAGAAGGAACACCGAAGCGTAGTTTTCCAAACAGAAAAAATACAAAACCACCGAGACTTTTCAGACTTTCGCTCGCGCGAAGATGTGCGCCATTTTCACGAGGGCTGGGAACGGCCGGTATATATTGCTGACCACCCTTGTAAACCTATTTTTTTTCTTGCTTGTACGGAGTATGGTAGGCCATCAGTACACCATGACGGAATGTCGCAATGGGGATCCGCAGATCCTCCCTCTTCAGCAAATCTTCAGCACTCAAGACGGCCCGCGAGACTACATGTACTGCGTAGTGTGGCATCCGGAGGACGGGGTGGATTGGATGGGTGCGCGGAACAGCCCATCACCGTCCACTGGGGGAAGGTCGAGCTATTTCATGCTGCCCGCCCCTAGCTAATTACGGTTAATTGAGCGTAATGCCAAGACTGAAAACTCTTCGTACATGATGCACCTCCTCGAATCAGATCCAGTTTATCTAATCTGATGCATCTTATCTGATCCGATGGTGGGGGAGCCGACACTACCTCCGAGGCTATCTCGTTTTTGTGAAAGGTGTTGTCACTCTGTGTACGGAGTATGTAGCTAACAAAGGCACCCAGCGGAATCCCGTATCCCACCGGGTAGCAAGTGGGTGACAGCCTGGATGGGGTCAAGACAGTGAGGAGTAATATCTAGCCAGGGATCATCTCAGTTTCTTGCCAATCAACGTTTTTGTCTCTCCGTCTTCTTGGAGAAAAACTGGAGATCTTTGGTCTTTTGCGTGATTCAATCCACTTCGTTTCCCCCAAGGGATATTTGCCCGTGAAGTGGGCGAAATTGAGTGTTCATAAGCTTGGACTCTCTTCCATTGTTCTGAACCAGCGACAAGAACTCGATTTGCAAGCATGATGGAGGTGATTGGCCCTCGTTGCGAAACAAGACGATAAACCCGCAGAACGGTGCGCCAACATCATATCTTGTGAGTTGCAGGACCAGGTCGAGTAAGTGTTGAACGAGAAGCTCACGAGAAGGCATTAGACGCAGTGGGCGCCCACGCCAGTGACTGGATGGTGGGGTAGATGGGCAGTGGCCAAAGTCACTGCCGCCCATGTTCGTCACAATTAACCTCTCCCTTGTTGACACACTGTGCCGCAACTTTGGCCGAGGCCGAACCGCGACTTCGCCGTCTGCCTGCGTCATGTGTGCCGGCTTGCCGGACGATAAGCCCTAGTCGAATGAGCCCGACCAAGATGGGCAAAGCAGATCAGCGTTCGTCCCGCTAGCTTGGCAAGGCTTAGCACTGTAGGCTTGCAGCTAAAGCTGAAAGTGTCCTGAAACTATTCCCGAATAGTAGCATTTCTCGAGGCTATCCAGCTTCCCGGCCTTGAGCTCGAGAATACAACCTTTTACAGCTAGTCTTGACAGCTCCTAGACCGTTGACTCTTGCATCGTGATCCAATCAACTCTAAGAATTAATAATAGCAAGTCAAGTTGTCACCTTGGACATCAAATCTGACGTCGAATTGAAGGAGAGATCTTCCTCGAAAGTGCCGAAACCATTTGTAAGACAACATCTTATTTAGCCATGAGCTCAATAAGAAAGTTATATAAATTCGACACACCTTCATTGACCATCATGTAGTCATTCTCACAGTATCACCTTCTGCAGTAGTAAACAAGCAACTATTTCACCACACCTCTCTTACCTACGCTTCCTCACCTCTGATTACTCAACATGCGGACATCTATCCACTCAGTACTACTTGGCTCATGCCTAGCAATGCTACCTTTGTCTGCCATAGCTGCACCAACACCGGATCCCGAAGCTCAGAAACTCGCTGATCCAACATATGGCCCCATCCCAGGACAGTCGACCCTCTTTAGCGACTACAAGGGCAAGGCACCTCCGTTCCCCGGGAATATCACTGCCCCAACCCTCCCTACAGCATCGGGAGATCCGGGCCCGGATGACCAAGTCTGGCAAAATCTTTTGGCAGCCGAGTGGGCCATCTTCAGCTTCTACCAACAAGGCGTTGAAGCCTTCAACACTTCCTCCTTCGTCGCTGCTGGCTTCCCGAACACAACTTATGATCGCATCACGGAGATCCGTAATAATGAGGCTGGACATCTGCGCATCTTCCAGAACCAGATCTCCAACACTAGTGTCAAGCCGGGATCATGCAAATACGAGTACCCATTTGTGGACGCCACGAGCTTCCTGGCGTTGACAACCTATCTCGAAGTCGCTAGCATGGCCTTCTTGACTGGTCTGGTCCAGGAACCTAAGAGCGAAGCTGCGCGCGGCGCCATGGTGGCTATTGCGACAGTAGAGTCGAGGCATGAGACATGGTCGTTGCTGGATGTCTGGGGGGCTAACCCATTCTCTGGACCGAGCGATACCGTGTTCCCCTACGCCAACGAGATTCTCGATCTTACAAAGGCCTTTATTGTGCCGGGAAGTTGTCCGTCAGCAAATCCGGAGTATCCCAGCCCGAGTCAGCACCTGCCGGCTATGTCGGCCGCGACTAGGACGAAGTCTATTGCTCCAGGGTCCGAAGTTTCGTTCAACTTCACCAACGCGGCTGATCAGCCCAAATTTGTCGATGGAAAGAGCTATTACGCGGTTTTCTTCCACGGCGTAGGGAACACCAGTGTATCGGTTGATGTATCCGAATGGGCAGCTGGCGATTTCGTTAACGTGACAATTCCAGCCGAATTCGAAACCAAGGGAATCATTATTGCGGTGCTGGCAGATTGTCCGGGGGCTCCTGAGTTGGATACGGTCGTGGCTGGACCTAGTATCTTACTGCAGCAACCGGCTCCTATCGGTTTGCTTCTGTCATGAGATAATTTAGATCCTGTTGGCCTGCATAGCGCGAACTCCGATGGTGTATAAGGCGCCTTAGCATAGAAAACGTAGCTAGGTTCATGCGAAATCCCGAAACCCTTATTGTCATCATGAACGCACCCACCATAGTCACCCCCTGCTTGAAGTCGATCTGGTTGATATAGAAAGCTTCGACTGACTTAACAGGACCAAAAGACTATGTCATGGCTTGTCTGAAGTGATCTCATGTGGATTGACAGTTGTCCCCGTCTCCACCATAGCTGCAATTCCGATTCGCCTATCCACCATCAAACTTGGATTGCGGAAGCGCTCCCGAAGCCCACACAACCAGCGGGTTTCAATCTCGCTTCGTTCGGTCTATTAGTCTAGTTGGTTAGGACGTCGGATTCTGATTCTCAGAACCTTCCGTAGGCCCAGGTTCGAATCCTGGATGGACCTCGTTTACTTTTGTCTCTGGTGATAGTTGTCTACCCTCAGTGTTGATGTTGTTTTTGACCCTCGTATGCGTGTTGATTGTGCCTCGATAGCATGCCAGAATGACGCCTCTTACGGATACGCCTAGATATACCCTTTGCTTCAATGAAAGAAATGCAGCGAGTCATCAATTCGTTCTGAAGAGTGACTGTCCTACTTTTGAGTCGTAAAGTGATGAGCTTGCTGCACTCAAGTTGTGGTTTCTGGCGGTGTGGCGACCTACCAGGTGGTTGGTACTTGGTAGGTGACTTGATCAAAGTCAAACCTCGAATGCAGGGGCTAACCTAGTTAGGCCAAGCGCCGTCCGCCCTCATAAGTATGATGGAAGAAGGTTAATCTGATTCAGCGTACATGTCGCATTTCTTCACCAAACAGAACTTGCCTCCCTTTAGAGCAGATATCTTGTCCATAACGTCGCAATCTGTTTCGTGTGTCATTTGAGTAGTCTGCCTATCGCCTTTTCAATCTGCAAAGATGTCTCGTCTCAAATGGACTCTGGATACCTTACCGCGAGAGCTCTTAGTCAACATCTGCGAGATTCTATACTATGACGATCGCGCTCCAAGTCTCGCTTCGTTCTCTGCAGTCAACAAGACATGCCGTGACGCTGCCATAGGCATCTTGGTCCGCAACATCGATTTTATCATTGACGATGACGAGTCTCCAGGCGCCTGGCACAGCCTGCACCTCAATACCCTGAGTTGCGAACTAATGCTTCGCAAAAACGATCTCTTGTCTCAAGTGCGCCAGATCTCCATCTGGGGCGAGCCACCGACACCCGGAAAGGACTATGCGAACGGCCCTTACTTGACAGAGAACCGTTACGATTCACGTCAGTCCGGGTGGAAACAAGGTCGCATGTTTGCCGCCGAGGTGGCTGAAGACGACGCAAGAAAGATGGACGACTGCAACCTAGTGGGTACGCGTAACTATTGGGAAGGATATGCCAACTGCCAGTGGACCTACGATAGTAGTTCGGCCTGGTCACCAATTGCCAGGCTCATTAAAGAACTGTCAAATCTGAGTGACATCCTCTTCACATGTCCTACTCAATTCCCTCCCTCACTGTTCGCCACCTTGAAACAATACCACCCTAGATGCAGAATTCATCTCCCCACTTTCAACCTACTCTCTCTACGGGATCCACGTCCTGACGAATACGAACTTGACCTTGTGCATTCTCCGAACCTTTACAGCATCGACTGCTCGCATTTTCATATTTATCCAGCTGTGAATCAGCTCAATACGACCGTGATGCGGATGCTTACTAGGACGGCACCAGGGCTACAGGAAGTGCGCGTCGCATACGACTCTACTCAGGACGCCCCCTATGAGCTACATGAGATCTCCTGGAGCGGCGCGAAGGGCTTGGATTCATGCTTTCCGCAACACCGCAAGTCATTGCGAACTTTCCACTTAACATGGGATCCGGATTTGTCAGACTACAGCCTCCTTCGCAAATGGGGTCTCTTCATTGACTTTGACGCTCTACGAATCCTCAGACTGCCAGAGCCTTTGGGCCCACAGGGGCTCGAACTCTTGGACACCTACTCATTTCCATTCCTTAAGAACCTGGTTTTGAACATCGTCAATCTGTCTTCGATGGACGACCCGGGATACGAGCGAGAGAGACTGATCACGCAGTTTATCGATCGACGCACGAAGCTCTGGACGCTGGAGGTGATTGGCTGGAATAGTTCTCATCTCGGAAAACTGTTGAGCCCGTCTTGTAGCTTCGCATTGCGAACTTTGGATTTGCAGAGCAACCGGTATACTACAGACCCATTTAACGCCCAGGTCATTGCTCTCATCGCACAGCGCTGGCCCTTAATCGAGGACCTAGCCATAAGGGTGCGGCGCTCCAAGGGAGATGAAGAAGAGATGGCTATTTACGTGGCTCTCGGTAAATTGCGACGACTCCGAAAGTTATCTCTACGTCTCATGCCTATGCAACGAGGCTGGCAGTTTCCGCAGAACCGTAGGACACTATCTCTACCAGCGACTGCGGCGCCTGGGGAAGTTAACGGAGATGCTACCGTGGACAGATTGAACCCAAACTATCGAGAAGAGTACCGGGACCTACTCATCAACGTTGCGGTGGATGAGACGCTAGCTTGTGCAATCTTCCACGCCATCTCAACAGAGGGAGGAACTTTCCAGCATCAGAACTTGGAAAAGCTGGAGTTGCGGGTTGACGATTGGTCGTGGGCGGAACAGCTGCAGGGGAAAGGGCAAGAAGTCAGAGCTTTCTGCAGCATCCTTGGTCGACCTTGGAATGTTCGACGCGACCATAGGTTCAATCATAGATCGGAGGTGTCTGCCCTATTGGTTGGGGACAAGTTCAACACCTGGAGAGCTACAGCTGGCACGGTACCTGGCTTGGTGGAAGGTCTATTGCACGAGGTGTTCCGCGAAATCTGGCCGCGAGCTCAAGGCAGCGGATCGGAAGCGAGGCATTCATGGCAAACGGATTGGAAGAGCTTCCCGCTTTCTGCCTATGGCCACAGATCGTAACCTACCTAGCTCGGAGATTGAAGAGTGTCGGATTGGAAGTCCAATTCGACCTCGACGTATGGCGAGGCTGCGCAGGGGCCAATTAGGGCCCCTACTTCCGATTATCGCGGCCTGCCCAACCTACCTTACGGTTGGAACCTCCCTTTTACACCTACGCAGCAGATTATCTAGTCAATTGACCTACTTCGTCAACCCACGGTTCGAACCAATCAACCAATATCCCTGTGATAGGGGTACCAACAAAGAGCGAACTTGATGACTTCAGAAGTTAAGCATAACAACCACTCGAATTTTGTGCGTCGAAGTACTTGGATAAGTAGTTAAAAGTTTAATGTATCCGATCAGTGATGTAAGTCGCGGCTGGGCATGAAATTGACACTATTGTACACAGAATACCCGTCAGATGTCAACCGTGGTGGCGCGGTTGCGATAGACGAGAGAGAAGAACTCATGGCAACCAGAACCTCGAGCATACGGAACTTGTGTATCACTCAGAGTGATTCGATCAATAACGAAGTCATCCGCTTCACTCACTATGCGAATGTCCAGCATAAGGTGATGTCAGGCCTCTGTACGTGGATATGACGGCTCAAACTAGTTCCCCATGTTGCCGAGATATCCGTATTCTTCGATGGATGGACTGGCATGAAAACATGAGTCGGAAACCCCAGGAATCTGGAATCCCCCATTTTGCAGAGCCTGGGCTGCTCCAAAACTTCAAGGCCCGCATAGTCCACAAAGCACTGAATGAAAGCTAGTGCTGGCCTGGGGGTTTTATCCAAGCAGATTGTTGATATCGGACTCGCTGTTCTTCTACTATCTCATGTACTCCGCCCACCTCGAACCATTCTGTCAAATGTCAACCATGCCATTGGCTGCCAGGCTACCAGGCCGAAGTGTTCAACTGCCTAACTCGTGATGTGGTTTGAATTCCAGCCTCCGCGCCGAACGATTCGATACATCACTTCTCATTGGAAGCTCCTACTGAAGAGTTGCCATCCTGGTCATGATTTGCACCAATTTTCTCGACCAGAAGGAATTCTGGCGATGAGATCTAAAACAGATTCGTGTGACAAGAGGCGCTGCTTTTGTAGGAAAGAGAATCCATTGAGGTTCTGATCGGCGTTCGTTTGCTGGCCCAATCCAAATTCAAATTAGGAACGAGGACGGCAGCTTGGCAAAGCCCGCTACACCGACGCAAAACGGCCGCGCAATCCATTCACGGGGAGCGCGCTCGCACGCCGATACGCGGGTGGGTTGCGACCGGCCGGCCCTCTTCGTTATCGTGGCATGCACTGAGAAGGCGGGTCAGACATGGGTGCGAACGCGAGCATGAATGAGGCTGCATCGGTTTTTGGTCTGTGTACTAATAGTAGATGCCCCGAAGTGTCAATCCGCAGTGTCCAGGTATTGGGAACCCACTAGTCGTACGTGCTCTGCGATAATGATGGGTGTGATCGATCACTGGATTATAGACAACCGCTACAAGGACGTGATCTGGCATCCTTTGCCATCAGGCCTTGCCCATAATCTGAAATCACTGAACATCGGCAATGCACAAATGATAGCTACCTACTTGGTTCGGACTCAGGCAGCGGACCGTTGTAGCCGAAAACGAAGCAAATGTGGAAAGAGCGAGCATTACAGCCATGAACTGACTCGGGGCCCGCCCGCTTTGGCCCACGGTTTGATGAAGGCTTTAATATAATTAAGTTAATGAGACTACAATATGATGAAGATCTTCTGCCTCAATCAAAATTAAAAGAGGTTTAGAATCAGTGTATGTACTGAACGTGTCGTGGTATTTCTTGATTCACAAATCCGAGATCTTTCTTCCCTTTTTGCAGCATTCGAATTCTAAAGACACAGTTCCTGCTGATTCAAGGTCCGCCGAACCTCAAAATGAAGTACCTCACCGCCGTCATCGTCGCCCTTGCCACGTCTTCCAACGCCGCTGTCTGCAATTACGGATGGGGCAAGCCGGCGGGATCAACATGCCCTGGAGTCTACGTAAGTTCAAGATCCTCAAGTCGATCATTGGGAGGCAGCACTAATAATGACTTGCAGCCTAACACATACTGCGTAAGATTTTTGAAGCCTTGACCTTGTCCTTTGCTCACCACATCCACACAGTGTCAAGAGGGTGAAAACATCAAAACATCTAGCAACTTTCCAATTCCCCGAACTTGTTCGTATCCTGGCAACGGACGTCCAGTTCTACAATCGTGCCTTGGTGGAAGAGGTGTAAGTTATCTTTAACTTGCTCGTGTGATGGAGCCAAAGCTGACAATTATGGTCTAGTTCGTCGAATGTGTAGGTCATTGGTTTGCTGCAAATTCCAACTTGGTTGCATTCTAACGTATTTAGTGTCCTTAAATTACTCAACTCAGAAGATTCACTAGGAGCGAGGCAATGACATATATCCTCTCAATGACCAGAAGCCCAAGCCTACCTACTGAAGGTAGTCTCAGAGGATTAGCAATATCGGCTAGAGCAGCAAGCGGGACTATGAGGTTCACAAGCGTTTTCCCATGAGATATCCCTGTTTTATGTAGTCCGAGTGGTGACGGTCGAGAGCAACAGTGGTAAAGAGCAGAAAGAATCACCGTATACATCCGCATATATATACATATATACCCGTACATACAAATGAATAAGCTCCAGGGAAGTCTCATGCATGAGAATGCCGTCGTTATACAACTCCAGCTGGAAGAATGCGGGAAACTTCTAAATGGCGTAAATCATTATCAATGAATGCAACACCTTCGCTATGATGGCTTTTGTCCGTACACGACATGACTGTAAATGACGTCAGTATAGATTTACAGATTGCTGATGATCTGATACGTACACTGGCCAGTATGCATGAATCGCCGTGTTGCTCAAATCCTTTCGAACTTCGGCAAGGAAGACATCAACGCTCTCTCTTGACCATCCGAGAACCCGAGTAAATAGCCCAACACTGAGACCCTCCAGCCCCATCATCACATTTTCGTGGTTCCATGAACCTAGCCACATTATTAGTATCAAAAAAGGTTCATAACTAAATAGCAAGTTGAAAACGCGATGCGGTACGAAAAGCTAGTTTTCAGACGGGCTGAGATATAGAGAGTCTGCTTCACTTACCAAGTTCCTTGTGCCTTGGGTGCTTAGCCCATCTGTTTGTCGGCCATTTGAAGACGACCTCCTTCACATTCACGAACCCCGCCTCACGAAGTTGTCGCTTATAATGTGTGGCTCCACCAAACGGCGTCCCCCGCTCTCCCGTCCCTTGGAAAAGAAACTGGTTCCATTGATACAGTGCCGACTCTTTTGTTAGTGTGCCATCATCAGACATGGCTTGCGCTCCGTCGGCACACTCGAACCAGCCTCCCGGATTCAGATTTGCGAATGACTGCCGGAACAACTTGGGGAAGTCTCGAATACCACCCGTGTTCATTCGGCTGTAAACGAAATCAAACTTTTGCGAAAATGTCCAAGGTTCGTCTTCAATATCATCAATTTGGAAGTAGACGTTAGGCGGAACGTATGAAGGTTGCACCGGGCTCAAGTCCACGCCAATGATAGTCGAGCTGGGGTTCTCGTCGGCAAAGTCAATCGCCCAGATTCCTGTCCCTGTACCGACATCCAAAACCCGTTGCGGTGGCCGTTCTTTACTCAACGGAGATAAATGTAGCTTATCGCCGAGGGTGAGTAGACATAGATTGTGCTGGAGGTCTAGGCGGTCGAGTTCGAGGTCGTCGTTAGGAAATAGATAGGCACCATCCTTGTAGGCATGATATGTGCGGCCATTCTCCTCTCGGTAACGGAGTATGCTGCTGCGCAGGGACATTGTGGAAGGTTGCACCTCAGCGCCCAGGGACGAGTCAAGGTCCGAATCCTCGCCGTCGGACTCGAGCTCGCTTTCCTCATCAACGGATGTTGTCATGGAGATGTCGTCTGGTATTTCGTCAGCCTCCAGAGACGTTGAAGGCTGCGGTGCCGCTGGAGCCGACATCGTTGAAGGGTGGCACGATAGACGATCAGCGGACTAAATCTTCGAGGATGGCGAACCTTACTAGAAATTCGGGGTAGACAAATGCGACGAAAGCTAAAGAATGAAGGTTGCAAGAATTTTTATCAAGCGTAAGAGCCTGTTGTGGCGAAAGTGTTTCTTTTTCTCCTATGACATGAGGTCGAATGAACTCCGCAACGGAGGCGGGAGAACCGATGGAAAGGCGGAAATCGTGGAGACTTCGGAGGAATGTCCGTTCCTGTGGCCCAACGGCGAACCAACACGCATTTGATATCTGACAGGACAACTCGCACCAACAACGAGAGGAAATGCGGAGATCTGATTGGCCGTGAAAGACCCCTGGTAGGCAAACAGCCATCCTGCATATTGAAACGAGGGGTCCAGCCCACGCCCGGCGACTCAAAGATCCCTTTGCTTTCGCGTTGGCTCTGAGTACATGAATCGGGCTGTGGTTGCTTGATTGTTGGATGTTGTTAGGTGACTAAGACAGAGCGTTGGATGCTGGTGGACGCCGGTGGACGCTATACGGAAGCTGTTGGAGCATTGCGGAATGGCGCCGAGCGCAACACGCGCCGGGTTCGGGTAAGATCGTCCTGCGGGAGAGCGGCGTGGAAGGCGGATTGGGAAAACGTAATGTGTAACCCCTCTTTTTGTGCACCGGGGCCTCATGAGAAAATTGGCTCACGGATCCGACCATTTGGTAAGATGGAGTATCAGATGCTTGCGTCAGAGAAACATCGACCGGGTTGTCGGACACTCGTTCACTACATGTAGTGACTTGGGTCGTCGTACCGATCTCCCGTGCGTATTGTTGCGCTGATAGTAATAGCCCTATTTGTGGACCGTCGTCAGAACTTGAAGCCTCTATTCGTAGTTTCATAGGATTCGAAGGAAGAAGAAAGGACAGTGATCTGAGGTCTTCGAGCTCCTCAACACAGTACCTAAGATAGTCATTGCACTGGCAGTAAGTCAGTCTGGTCGCATTCATTTGCGTTGGCCAGAAATTCTCACTTGGATAACACTACTTCAAAGTCAGGGGAACACCGAGAGCTATTTCTCAGATCTCAGTCATCTCACTCACTTTCTGACCCTCCCAAGCGGTGAGAATTAAGAGGACATTAAAAAGAGTCTTCCTGTTGTTTTGGATGTCTCTCGTTCCAAGGAACGCTCTCGCTGATACATCGATGAGCTATGATACGCCAATCCCATGGTTTTCGCTACCAAAGTCACCCCAACTCCTCAATCGGCTCACCAATGCTGCAAAGAGCAAGTGGCCGATGATATCTTTACGTCAACAACTTACTATCATGCCATCGGTTTTCTTCCGGTGACAAACCGATAGCTTGTGATAAGCCTGTAGTCCTTGCTACGGAACTCTCGCTTGACACCCTCCATAAGCACTCTGGCTTGGTCGTGCGAGTAGTTCAGTACTCTCGTGAACAAGGCCGGAGTGTGAGAGTCGACAGACATCTGCATATGGACAAGTTCGCAGCGACCAAGCTCCTTCAATGCCGGGTCTTTCGCCCATGGACCGATGGGTATCTGTAAATAGCGTGAGCACGTCTCCTAGGGTATAGGCTTAGCTGTTAACTGAAAACACTTACTCTGTAAACAAGTTCCTGGACATCCTCGAAGCCGGCATCAATCATCCACTGTTTGTGGTATCTCGCCACGTTGATTTGCTTCCCGTACATTTTGCTTGCCTCGTCTAGCTTGGTCACCCACTCCTTCGTCCAGGGCGCTCTCTCATAGCTATCGTCGTCGCTGAAGATCCATGCATCGTACTCTTGCATTTCAACCCATCCGCCTGGCTTCAAGCCACCCATGACACGGTCGTAAAATCTTGCCCAATCAGAGGACGTTCCGCTGAGCGCGCGGCCGTGAATATAGTCGAAGTGCTCCTCCTCACGGTATGTCCACTCATCCTCGTAATCATCGACATGGAATTTGCAGTTCGTGGGAACCCATTCCGGTTGAATGGGCGAGAGATCGACACCGTATACGTCAGCCGTGGGAAATTCATCTGCCATCTCTATGGCCCATATTCCCGTCCCTGTACCGAGATCGAGGATCCTCATACCAGAGGCCGCCGGATCCTCTGGTGTGGGGAGTGGCGCGGTGTAAAGCTGGCCTCCGAGGAGGAGACGCCAGATGTGGTGCTGCAGGTCGAGTCGTTCTTGCTCTTGATCGTCATTGGGAAGCACGTATTGCCCCTCGCGGTAGGCGTGGTATCGCCGCCCGTTCTCGTACTGATAGTGGAAGATGGAGGATGCTATGGAGGCCGTGTAAGCACTGCCAGCATCGGAGCCGTAGGCCGAGTCATGATCCTCGTCAGGGTTTGTAATATCGGTCTGTAATACGGGGGCACAAGGTAACGTTAGTGCACATGGCCTTGCCTCAAGTCCCAAGGGAGTCTCCAAAGGGAGAAGGACCCTGGCGGTGATAAGCTTACGTCGACTTGGAGCGGCGTCAAGGTCTGATCTGCCGCCGGATTAAGCAAATACTGGATACTGGTCGGTGCTACGGCACGGGGAGGTGTCGTCGCTCCCGTGCTGCTAGTCAAAGGGGTTGGTGTTTGGACTGGACCGGCACTAGAGGGGGTCCCGGTGGCCGGTCCCGAGTCCGCGGTACTGGAACCGCCGGTAGTTGACGGACGCGACGTCATTGGAAAAGGGAGCGCGTGATCGGCAGGCCGTCTGCCGTCAGCCGTCTGTTCCCGGTGGGAGAAGTGAATAGAGAGACGGGAGTTTTGAAAACAACGGTTTCGCTTTTCCCCTGGACAATTTGACTCTGTTCGAGAAACAGACGAGGGCCAAACTTTAAGTGTCCCCCTTGGAATGGAGAAGCGGTAAAGTAAAATGTCACCCCACGGTAGGAAATGATGGATGAATGCGGATCGCCCGGGAACCCAGCTGAAGAATAATTCTGGGAAAAGCCTTGCACATAAAGCCCCCTCCATCATCACGCCAATGAGCTGCCGGGGTCGTCCCCTATTCCGCTTCGAGCGCTACGTCCGTGCCGCCCCCGTACGTTACGACCCCTTCCTCTCAGCTGCCAAACCCACCATGGTATCCGCTCCCGATCGCCATCGCCATGTTCGGTAAGGCTTGTGAGCACGTTGTGAGCTTCATGGCAGTTTGATGAGCCAATAGCTGAAGAGTTTTGCGAGACAAGGAGCTCCACCTTCATATCGACTCTAAGATATCACCTCATGTATCCGAACTCCGCACATCGCTTAAGTATGAGACTGACTTAGTGGCCTTGATTTAGTCTCTCTTAGTGACACTTATCTCACACTAGTGTCTCCTCCAGCCGAGGGGAAGCGGCATGTTTCTGGCCCGTCACGAAAGCGGCGGGGAATGGGCCGCAATGGAGTGGTCAATGATTTTCTTTTAGAGCCTCTGGAAACAGAATTTGACCACTTTTGATCCCACGATCTCAACATTTTCTAGAAGTAACTCACGGACGTCGGACTGCAGCAAACTCATCTGATGCTGTATTAGCCGGAAGCTTTTTTTGTACCTCAACGATTACTACATCTAACAAGGCATTCAACCTAAAAGTCTCTCCTGGTTTCATCACGTTACTATCCCACCGGTCAACTCACCGCCTCTCAGTCTTTGCCACGGACCAACACTGATGACAATGTCCCAAAAGCTCATCGTCGTCGTGGGCGCCACGGGCAACCAAGGCGGCTCCGTTGCTCGCCGCTTCCTGGCCGCTGGCTACCGCGTCCGCGCTCTCACCCGCGACACCAAATCCACATCCGCTACTGCCCTTTCCACTCTCGGGTCCGATGTGGAGCTCGTGAGCGCAGACCTTGAAGATGCCGCCTCCATCGAAGAAGCTTTCAAGGGTGCAAATGTCATCTTCAGCGTCACAAACTACTGGGAACCCTTGTTCCGACCAGACTGTCGCATGAAGGCACAGGAACAGGGCATTTCCTGCCGGAAGTTCGCGTATGATGTCGAGTTGCGCCAGGGACGGAATATTGTCGATGCTGCGGCCAAGACAGTGGACTCGCTTGACAAGAACGGGTTTTTGGTTTCAACATTGAGTCACGCTGAGAAATGCAGTGGTGGGAAATTTAAAGAGCTGTATCACTTTGATTCCAAGGCTGAGGTGTTTCCTGGCTACGTGAACGAAAAATATCCCGAGCTCGCGGCGAAGATGTCGTGCATCCATACTGGGTACTTCTACACAAGCTACAACATTCTTCCCAACTCATACTTTGGCAAGGTGAGCCACTCCCCCTTATTGTGACCATCAACATCTCTAAAGCGTCATCAGAACTCCGATGGCACATTCACCATGGCGTTCACAACCTCCCCTGACAAGCCTGTCCCGCATTTCTCCCCTGTCGATGATATGGGCAACTTCACCTACGCCGTTTCCCAAATGCCGCCCGGCAAGGCTTACATGGCCGAAGGAACAACTGCCACTTGGCCCCAGTTCCTAGAGACATGGGCAAAGGTAAATGGAGTACAAGCCAGCTATAAGCAAATTACGCCAGAAGAGATGATTGAGGCGACTGGAGAGCGCGACACTGGTCTCGAAGTCGCATACATGTTTTCATATTCCTCGGACCCAGGTTACGATGGCGGCATGGATTTGCTGACCGCAGCTGATCTTCAAAAGGTGAGAGCTGCAACCCTCGAACCCGTGAAGAATGAGGTGCTTTATTTTAAGGACAGAGAATTGACTGCTAATTGCATAGGCTGGTATTGATTGTCCCATGACGACTTGGGAAGAATGGTCCAAAAAGAACGATTGGTCTCCCGTACTAGACAAATGATGGCCGCACGGGTTCATACCTGAAGGATATGTGCTAGACTTAGATCCGATTTAGCAATCCGACACTCTTGAAACTTCTGATTTTCCTGACTTTGAACAACTAGAATTATATTTATCGGCTGACTGAAACGCATTGCGAACACCGCATGTGTTGTGTAGGCCCAGCAAGTTTCATTTAGTATTGTGGGTTTAGAGCTCATTCTTCTTACGTTTATCCTTGTTCTTGAATCCGAAAACACCAACATTCAAAACCATCAAAACTCCATGTATACTGCGACAATAGTTGCTAAAGCCATCGCAAACATTGCTTGACCCCCAGCTGCAGAAACCTCTGACCCCCTGCTCCTCACCGGTTGGGCGCCTGAAAGTTGACCCCTTCCAGGTTCCATGGATTGCGGGAACATCAAGACTGTACCGTTACCCGCATCTCCCACAGGAGCTGTTGTGTTAGGATCGATAGTGAACGACGTGTTCGTCGACTCGAAACCTTCACGCCTCCCGACCAATACTTCGACACTGCGGAACGCCACGGCAGGGGCATCCTGTGCGAGGAAGTGGCCTGATGTAGATACAGCCAGATATGTCAGGCCTCGCTCCGAGTGCACTGTACCCATCACACCAGCGCCGGCCAGCGTCTCGGGGTCAGTGTTGGTGTGATAGGGCACATAGAGCGGTGCGGTGGGCTTCTTTTGGAAACCCATTTGCCCTCCCCAGGTCAAGTTCTGGATCGTGAGAAGTGTACCGTCGTCAATGAGCACAAAGTCCTTGGTGCCGTGTGCGAGAATGACATTTCGTGTCTTGTCGATTACGTTGGGTAAGACTGGTTGACTTCCCGGCCCTTCGTCAATGGAGTTGTCGGTTTCATTGAAGAACACGGGTGTCTCGGTGCAGAAGACCCATTCCTTGTCCAAGGGAGCATTGATGGCTTTTTTGACGTCTTCTCGGTTGAAGTAGACTGGTCCCGCCCCTTTTGGCCTGTACATAGAGCCGTCGCTGAATCCAAGAGGGTCGTACTTCAACGGGCAGAGATTTGTGATAGAATAGACGCTGAAGCAAGGGGTGATCTCTGTCGCAGCCTCCAGAATCATGGTCCAGGTGTCGCACTCTGTCTTCACGTTGCCATCCTCATCTAGGCCCGGCATTGTCGCAGGCTGTTGTCCGGCAGGAGGATAGACGAGCCATTTGCGCATGTAATCGGCATAGCCACACTTCTCATGTGCATCCTTTAGCGTCTGCCTGAATGTGTCGTTGAAGGCGAAGACATGCTCCCATCGATCCACGAAGGGAACTGCAGGAATCTCCTCCCCGATGCTGTCGACCGAGTACGTTCCGTCAAAGATTTGCATACCGGCAATATTGAAGTAGTCCTTGTCATTGCTGTCAACCATGGCGCTAGCAATGTAGGGGCAGTACATGCCGCTGTACGAGGATCCCGTAACATAGACCTTGTAGCCCTGCATGGCAAAGGTGTCTACAAAGTTACGCCAGAAGCCGAGGAACTGGCGGGCGACATCGAATTCGTCCTTGGCAGTGGGTGTACCCTGCGAAAAGCCTGTACCCACAGGCTGGTCTACCCAGACGACGTTGGTGATACGATGCCAACTCCATTTGTTGCGGATGGGCTTGAACATTCCCGGCTGCCAGAGCATTGGGCCGTTTTCAGAGAGGAGTTCTCCGGTAGATGAACAACCAGGCTGGCCATACAAGTTAGTTCTGTTCGAGTCCCGGTCATCATATAGCATAAACTTACACCACCAGTCAACCAGATCATGATCTCCTTGTCGGCAGCCTGACTCTCGGATGGAAAAAACCAGAAGTACAGCTTCCCGGCTGTGTCATTGTTCTTGTCGATGTTGAGTAATCCTGCATAAGACTCGCCGACGTCGAAGTCAACTTCGGGAATCTTTGTTCCATTGACGACAAACTCTAAGAGCAGAATTGTTAGATTATAGACCACGTCGAACAGTGAGTGACATTTATCAACGCACTCTTAGTCTTGTCTGTGAGGAACTTAGGTTCCCCTTGAGCCTTGTTCACAACATTTTGCTGGTAGTCGGCCTTTGCGTTTGAGTACTTGGGCTGGTTCAACGATGGTTTGTACTGTTTCAAGTTCAATGTCGCAGAAACAGCCACAGGAAGCAGCAAAGCCGCACGGAGCCAGTGCATATTGGGATATATCGGGAGGGCGGAAATTAAGGGTTCGTCGATACCCTTCTTGGCTTGTCGTTGATGATTACAGCATCACCCTCGACAAGTCTAACGGTCAAGCAGGTCGTGCAAGACGTGGGGAAAGGCAAGGCGGCTCTGCACCGGACTTTAAAGGAAGAGAAACAAAGAGGTGCCACCATTTAAGCATTCCTCGGAAAGGCGCGATGCGTGTTTCAAGATGGGTCCTGTTGGAGGGGATTAAGCTTGGACGCTGATCCCGATGAAGGGAAACGCACATCAGTGTCACCTCAACTCGGTTTCGCCCGAGCTTAATTCACTTGGCAACGGGCCGCTAGGTTTGGGGAGAGCTAGTCGAAATTTGGAAATAACGAGGAGGTTCTGGAGCTTGAAAGGCTATAAGGATGGGAGACCCTTGATGTATGACCGGTGAATCGGCTTGATTAGATGGTTGTCTCTGCTGGAGGGTGATACAAGGTGCACACAGATTAGCTTCTCTGTTTATCAAACCTGAACCGTTTCGATAGACGGCAGACGCCGACTTTCGCCTGAATTGGATTTACCACTTTCGAAATGTCTTCACTAAAATACAGGCTGGTCTTGAGACTCGTTAATATTTTAGCCAGAGACGCGTTAGCTGGATCGCATGCTATTCAATCAATGAGCCACTCTTGGGGGCGGTAGAGCTCAGTCCAATTTTGCGGATTGTCCACGAAGAGATCGGCCAATTGATCATCCCGTCGGGAACTAAGAAAACCTACGTAAACCCAATATTGACCTTGTGGTTCTGTCACACCTGCTCGGTGACGGAAAGTAAACCAGTCGGCCTAATATAGCATCTCCTTCCTCTGAAGTCGGCCTTTTCAGATTCGTACTAGTTTCCACGTTTCTCATGAGCTTATTCTCGCCTTGCCATTCGTAAATCCCCCGCTTGCGGCCATGCCGTGTTACAATCTTTGCCTGGCGACGGATCAAAGTTCATCGCTAGTCTTAGATCAAATGCCCTGCAATAAGATGCCATAGTCATCGGCTTGGGTGGTGTTGAAGAGCGTATAGGTGTCTATAGTTCTATTGACTTTCTTTGACTCCTCGAAATAGACACCTGAATCCGCTCATTTTAGGATGTCCTTAGTAATCTTGCCTTACTTGTCCGCTGTCTTGAGTGGATCGAAGGTTCCTCCCGCACTTCACTTTTGGACTGGAATTCATCGTCACTACACATTTCTATAGATGATACATGTGAGATTCTCGCCTGCCTCTGCTGGCAATTGCAACATCCAATTCTATGTAACTTAAGAGATACGTTTGTTGGGGTTGTGAGGTGCAGGTCGGCGCACAGCAGCGGGGGAGGTTTGCTTGAGGCCAGTGTGTCACGAAAGTCGACATGGAACATCTGGCACTACGCTTCGATAACAAGAGGATGGCCATGGGACTACCCGTGTCTTATCGGAGAGATATCATACCGACTTCAGAGCAAGAATTGAAGGCAGGGCCAACGGTTCATATAAACATCTCGGAAGGGCAAGCAAACAACGTCGTCTGATTGGGCTCTGGCCAACAAGGCAAGATGCCAAAGTCTAGTCGCCTCATGCACGCGTCGCCAGAGACAGATTCCACAAACATACATGTGGAGTTTGAAACTTCCAGGGCCATCGTAAGGGCTTAAGATTGCAATCTATCGATACCTGTCACTGATTCGTTCGCGAGCAATCGTACTTCGATAGTCAGTCTGGGGATCTCTCCACAGTGCTTAGATTCGTCAATTGTAAATATTTTCAGCATAACTTATGACAGTAGACGGGTAAATGACATCAGTTGCACTTAGTGTTGGTGTCGGTAGTCTTGGGTATTCTTCCTGCAAGTGTAGCAGGTCTTGCACTGGCCAGCGTGTCTACAGAGATCTTAGTTCAGGTAGATGAGCTGAGAAAGACTGATTGGAAGGACCAACAGGATCATAGTGTTAGTGAAAAGAAGTTTCTTCAATAAGACAAGTAGCCTTCTGGTTTTGGCAACCAGTCTTCCGTCTTACTCTTCCGGATTGAAACCCACACAAAAGATACCAATTTGATCAACAAAAGGGCGCTTATCCTTAAGAGTTCAGCTGTATGATTGCAGACAAGGTACAAGATGGCGATGGTATGGCCGGATCTGAGGGAGTTGTCAATGTTGTTTTTAACTGAGCCCCTGATAAACTGCATATCTCGTGGCCTTCACTGTCGCAGACTGTGAGCCGAGTGTTGCTCTCGTCGACAAAGATGGTTTGGATCTCGGTTAGCATGCACTGGTGATTGTAAATGTTGGGAGAGCGTGAAGACATCTCTTCAAGGCCTGGGAAGGCGCTCTTGAATATGAAGTTGGCAACTTTTGGCATTCCGTTTCGAATGGTGCGCTCGTTTGAATGCTATATGGACATGTTTTGCTTGAGACCCTCCCCGAGTATCAAGACTTTGGTGATAGTGACGCCTACGAAGGCAAAGCATGGATTACACGTCAGATTCCCGGACTTAGTACTCTGGGCATAGCTGGGCGTATTTATCCACAGAAAACCTCATGCCAAGCCATTAATTATTTTGAAAACAAAACCAAAAGCTAAATCGTATGCCGCCGACCTGATGTTAAAATTTCCACCTCAAAGAGACTGGCCCGAGAACTCTTTGTCAGGCTGAAAGCATTCTCCAGAGAGAATTCTTTCTTATGTGAGCCTTCAAAGCATGATGCCTTCATACACGCATATCATCTACCTCTCAACTGAGATGGGCGTGTTATGTTTTTGTTTGAAGTCATCTATGAGTCTCAAATGTCTCTAATATCAAACAAGAGTAAAATTGCCGTCGGCCTGTTACCAACATGTAATGGCATTCCCGAACCCTTTTCGGTAGAGTTTGGGTATCCCTAATGATAGTACGCACATTCATTCAGGCGGTTCTAAAGTAGGGGACAGGCCTTCTCGTAGGTATTAGACATTAAGTCGACCCACCCCCTTTTAGCCACCCCCCCCTTTTAGCTACCCTATTAAACATAGTATTAAAACATCGCTACTAATTATACTTAATTAATTAACTATTTTTTATTACTATAATAATATAATTATTATTCTCCCTAAGTAATTCAACTTTTATAAATTAACTAGGACTAATTAAATAGTTATTAAAGTCCTCCTAAGCTTTTTATATATCTTAAATATTTATAAACTTAATATTTAGGTTTATTAATATACTCTTCTTTTTTTATAGTCTTAATTAGTTAACTTTAGTTTTTAAAACTCGAATATAGTACTAAGATATTACTAAATAGTAGGTTTATTTACTAAATACTTTTTTTATTTTTTTAAATAATAATTATATTATAAAAGGAAACTTAAGGTAAGTCGGAACGCTACTATATTAGCTTAATTAACTAAAGACTTAATATAAAAAGGGAAAAAATAGAATAGTAAGTAAAAGCTAGCGAGCTAGCCCTTTAGGCCTAGCGGTTTAGCTCGTTACGTAACTATTAAGAGCTTAGCTTTATAATTTAAAACTAAGCTACGGGGCCTATAGGGCTTTAATACTTATTATTATAATATTACCCCCCCCTCTATACTAAAGGGCGCTATTTATAATATTAAAAAATAAACCTTTAAATTACCTCTTAATCTAATAAATCTATAGCCGTAATTATTATTATTATATTATTATTATCCTATAGTAATAATAAGTTACTAATTATAATAGTTTTTATTTATAAGTCTAAGTTCCGTAGCGGGCCCTTAGTAATTAAGTACTAATAATAGAACGCTTAGAGCGCTATTAATATATATTAAAAGCTCTTTACGTTATACTAAGTTAGATTCGTATTATACCCTTTCTAATCTACTTAGTATTATAGCTTTCCCTTATATAAGTATAACTTAATAACTTTAAAAACCTCGTACTCTAGCTCGCCGTTGTTATTAATAATTAATAATAATAAGTCTTAGTTCTACCTAAGTAATAAATCGTTAATAACCTTCTTTAGCTTACTTAAATAGAAAACTAAGTATACTTAGCTATTTATTAATAATTCTATAATCTATATACCCCCCTAGCCGGCGCTAATAATAAGCTATAATCCGGCCTATAGCTACTATAGCTTATTTATATTAGTAAATTTTTAATATAAAGTATTAATAAAAACCCGATTTCCTAGCTTTAAGTTATTTAAGCACTAGTAATAGTTAGTATACTTCTTATATTATATTTAAATAACTTTTATATTACCCCTAGCGGTCTCTTAGGCCTCGTATATTTTTTAAACTATATACTACGCGTTAGTATAATTTAGCTTTTCTTTTATAAAACCGAATTAATAAGTTTACTTAGACTAATTAAAAAAAAGCCGTAGCTAATAACTAAATTTTACTTCGTATAATAATAGCCCCGTAGTCTTACTAAGCTAAGTAATATAAGTAAAGTCGACTATAAATAGCATATCGCTCTAATTATCCTAGTACTAATTAACTAATAGTCTTAACTACTATAAGATATACTAGTTTAGTATTTCTATTTAGCTATCTATTTATAAGTAGTCCGCTATTAATAATTATAACTTAACCTCGCAAATCTTATAAAGCTCTCCCTAGAAGTTAAAAATAAATTAGGGCCCTCGGTCCGATATAATAATTTTTAATAAGCTAAAAATAAATAGCACTCGCTCGTAAAATATTTAGCTTATATCTTTTATTATAATAGTTTTATAATAAAAAATAAATATTACCCTTTTACTTAAGTAGTTTACTACTACCTAAATATTATTAAATCCTTTTTAATTAGTAAGAATAGTTATAAAATCTATAAAAATATATTATTACGGGTAGTCGGGTATTAAGAGCGGTCTTAGTTCTCTTAGGGGCTTATTATGCGGTTTTTATAATTAGTAATAAATATAGTAATTCTATATATATTAATAAGTATCCGCTATTAGGCTCGGCTAATAGTATTATTATTTAATTATTTTTATAACCTTATTATGCCCTAAGTAAGCGAGGAGCTTTTACTTATAGACTTTATAAATAACTATAATATAGAGGTTCTCTTCCTCGGGTACTACGAGCTTCCTATCTATTACTAATAATTTATTATTTTAAATAGACTAGCGTTCGCACCCTTTAATAACTAGTACTCGTATTAGTATAAAAGATACTATAATAAGGTCTTTATTAAGCTTTAAAATCTTTTTTATTAATAAGTACCCTTAAAGTTCGTCCTTTAGTATAAGCGAGCTAATTATAAATTATAATTAACTAACGGCGGTACTTAATAACGCTTATAGCTCTACTATAATATTAAAAAATAATAATTTTAATAATAAGAGGACTTAGGTCTTATTAGCCTCCTTTAGTACTTACTAAATATAAATATCCTCTATTTTCCGTAATAAGGTATTAGCTAGTACGTTCTCCTTCCCTAAGTAATAATAGATTTAAAAATTAAAATCTACTAATATACTAGCTTAGCGAGCTTACTATAAGTTAAATAAGCACTTAGTTATAAAAAATAGTAATAGTTAATAGTTTATAATAATATCGAACTTATATTTATAGCTTACGAGCTCCGCGCGCTATTCCTCGAGGTATAGTACTATTATTAATATTTTTTTATTATAAATAGTATAATTAAGCTCTATACTACTTATAGTCTTTAAATAAAAGGCTACTAAGTACTATAGCCTATTATCCTCTTATTACTATAATAATACTTTAGTATATACTAAGTTAAAAACGTTAGTTTCTAGCCGCGTTAGTAGCTCTAGCTTAAAATAATAAAGAATAAGTACTAATATTAATACTAGTTTTATAACTTTAAAAACCGTATTATAATTAGTACTAAAGTTAAAAAAAACTCCCTTACCTATTAATTTCGTAAGGGGCCTAGCTAAGTAGCTATAATCCTTTATAAACCTCTTATAAAAATTATAAAACCTAAAGAAAAATTAAATACTTTTAAATAATATAAATAGCTTCTAATCTCTAACTATAAAGACCTTTTCTTTATTAAGTTATATACCCTCTATAAAAACTACGAAGCCTAAGTACTTTATAAAAATAATACTAAACTCGCACTTTTTAATATTTACTTATAAGCTTACTTTTTATAAACAGTCTAGTACTTTAATAACATACTCTTAATATTAGAGGGGGTCGTTAAAAAAAATTAGGATATTATCTATATACGCTATATAAAAGTTATTTAAGTACTTTATTAATATCTTATTTATATATTATTAATATATAGCCGGCCCGTTATAAAACCTAAAGGGTACTATCTTATACTTATATACTTTATAATAGGTTCTAAACGTCGTTAAGTCCTTAGAGGCTAGGTTAAAATAAATATAATAAAAGGCTTATTTAATATTTAGTTTAATAAATACCTTTACTTTACTTAACTACGCGAGGGTCTTGTTAATAAGTAATAATAAGTAGCGGTCTTTTTTTATAACTTTATTAAGTTTATAAAAATTAATATAAAAGCGTAAACTACTATCGTACTTTTTTATAAATAGCGTTAGTAATATAAAAAGAGTATTACTTAGCTCGATAAATCCCTTTTATAAATACTTTAATAAATAAGCTTTTATAGCCTCTAGCTCCGGTACTAACTACTTATATAAAGAATAGTAAGTTAGCTTCTCTTTATTACTATCTAAAAGCTCGATTTTATAGTTATATAGCTTATAAAATATTAGTATATTACTAACTACTTTATTAAAGACGTTAATTTAGGGCTATAAGTACTCTAATAAGTTTATTATTATAAGGTTATAAATAACTTAGTTATTATTATATAGGGGGTCTACCTCCTCTTTTTTATTTTTTATAATATAGTTTAGTTTATAAAATAATATAGAACCTATTTTAATATCGTTTTATTATAAGTTCTTTTTAAATATAGGAGCGTTAATAAAAGTAATATTTATTTATATTATTACTAAGTATAATTACTACTACTTAGCCTTATTTATAGGGGTAATAGTAATATTATTAAGGGCGCATTCTATTTTCTTTATATTCTTAGCCTTATTTAACTACTATATCTAACGGGCTATTATTTTTAATAAGCGTAGTAATATCCTAGTTAGTATACCCTTTACTTGCTATTACTAAAGCTTTTAATTATAATAAGTTATATTTATTTTAAATAAGTCTTACTATTAATTAGCATCGATTTAGTATTATATATTAATAACTTCCGGGGTATATAAATCCTTAATATCCCTAATAATAATAAAGGGCGTCTCTTATAATAATAAGTCCTTAGGCTATATTAGCTATTAATAGCGAATATTAAAGTTTACTTCGTAATATTCGAACTACTTCTACTCTAAGATTAGGTTATAATAACCCGTATTAAGTTAAAAAAAGGGTACTTTAAAAAAGACCCGTTAATTAATATATAAGTTAGTAGTTTATATTACGCTAGTATTATCTAATCGCTCCTTATTAAACCCGGTAATAAGGATTAAGTATAATAATTTATAAAATAAGGCCGCGTAAAACTACTATAATAAAAAAGTTATATAGTTATTTATAAATCCGTACTTATTAACTCCCGTATTAAATAAGGCTCTTAAATGAATTCTATATTTATTAAATACTAATATAAGCTTTATTTTAAGGGGCTAGCCCCTTACGAAATCCTATAAGTTTATTAAATTAATTACTAATCTTCTATCCTTTTTATATATATCCCCTAGCTAGGAGTTTATTTTTATTAAGGGGTCTAGTTTTTTAAACTTAACTCTATTTTAATAAGGCCCGTAGTAGCGTTAATAGCGGCTATAGTAGTTTTCGGCTTCTTAAAGTAATTTTTAAAAATATATTTAGTATTATTATAAACGAAATAAGTACTACTATCCTTAAGCTTTTAATATAGGGCTTTAGGGATCGTTTTATAAGTAAAAGTATAACCTCGGTCCTATTTAGTATTACTAATACCTTTATTATTTCTACTACTTTTATTATTTTTACCTAAGGTTTAATAAGTCTAGTTAGAAGCCTTAACTATATAGTCCTTTATAAAAAGAGGCTATATCGTATTAGCTAGTTACGTAACGTACTTAGTATATTTTTAAAAAGTAGCCGTATTATCTAAGTACTTCGATATAGCCTAATTATAAAAATATATAAATAGCTTATTATAAAAACGGCGCTTTTATTAAGATTTTAAAAACTTATTAATACGCGCGAGCTTAGTAAATATAAAACGCTTTTAATAAATATTTTTAAAAATAATCGTAAGTATATCTAGCTTATAACCCGCGTTATTTATAATAATCGGGCTAATATAAACTAACTTAAACTCGTAGAGTAACTACTTAGCTATAATAATCTTATTAAAAATTAGTATTAGGTATATAAACTCCGTAGCGCTACCTCTAATTTTATTAATAATATACTCTAAGTAGTACTTATTAGTATTATAGTTAGTATTTTCTAAGCGCTTCGTAATATACTAGAGCTAGTAATCGAACTTAAGGCTAGTATTATTATTAATAAAGACGGGTATATTAAGTATTTTTTAAGAGCCGTAGGGGATAGAATAAGATAAAATTAGAGTAGTTTTATAGCTACCCTACGTCTCTAAATATACTAACCGCTACTCTAAAGTACTAAGGGTAGTAATATTTTAAATAAAACTAGCCTAAGAACCGTTCTTTAATTATTCTAATTTCTTAGTTATAGCTATATTATTAATATAAGCTTAAGTAAGGGCTTTTTTTATAATATAGAGCTTTATAATAATAGTACGTATAAAGTTAAGGTTTTTATAAGTTATTATATATAAGTACTTAGTACTATTACTTAGCTAGCTAATAATAAAAGCTAGGACCTACTCTAATTAGTACTAAGTAATACGTATCTTTAGCTACTATTCGATCTATTTAAATAGGGTCTTTCTATTATTTTTAAAGTATAGTTCTTAAATAAAATCGACGTTAACGTACTACTTAATATTCTTTTTAAAAAAGATATTGTTACGGATATAAATAAATAAAATAAGCTAGTTAGTTACGTTATTAAAGTACGCTAAATAATCGGCCTAAGTAATAAAGGGTAAAAAGCGTTTTACTAACTAATTAAATAGCATAATTTTAAAGTTAATTATTAAAAGCTTAGCGCCTTTATTAAGGTTTATAATACTTTATTAAAACTCGTAAAAATAGTAACTTTATTAAAAACTATTAATATAAAAAGAGACCTAGCTACCCTAGCTATATTCTCTAACTATTATATTTAATAAAGGGGGTATATATTTAAAGAGTATTAATTACGCTACTTATATATAATTAATTTAGTTAGCTATTACTTAGCTCTCTCGTATATATAATAGATTCGGGGTATAACTAGTAATAAGACGCCGATAACTTAGCAACCGGTATACGGATCGTATTACAAAAGAACTTTTTAAAAAGCAGAGCCTATATAAAGGACTCCGTAAACTTTAGTCTTATAATATACTTATACCTATATTATAGCCTCGCTAGTTAAGTACTTATAGCCTAATTTTTTATAATTCTAAAGCTTCTACCTTTACGAAGTAACTAATATAAGTAATAATAAATTATAAAAACGAACGGAACGTTAATAAAGCGACGCTTAGTTATTAGTAAAGAGCCGTTAGCGCTAACGAGCTATAGCTATTTAAAATTAACTATTTAACCCTATTCTATCCGGGGGAACGAGCTTACTATAGGGCGAGTCCTACCCAAACGCTAGCGTTTATAAAAGAGCTAAATAAAAAAAATAATTAGGGTAAATTACCTTTATAAGCTAGTTACCCCGCTAATACCCCGAGGACCCTATTTATTATAAACGGGGCGTTTATTAATAACCAATTACTAAATATATAAGGTCTAGGCGCGTATAAAAGCGCGGGTAGTACTAAAATAGCTAGTTTAGTAAACCCTATAAGCTTAATAATAACCTATTTCTATAAGACGATAGAAATAATAGTTAAAAACTAAAACTAAGAACGGCGTTAATATAAGGAGCTTATTTAATAGCTTATTAAGTAGCCGGCGACGTATCTAGGTTAACGAGAATATAAAAAGCCTCCTTTTTATAACTATAAACCGATTAAAAAAGAATTTACGAGTACTTAAGTAGTAAACTAGATTATTATTATAGAAGTAGGTAATAATCTTCGTACGGAAAGTACTATAAAATAGTATATTAAATAGGCCCTATTTAAGATATCCCTATTACTATAAACGTAATAGCGTAATTACGAAAAGAGCCTCTAAGATCCCCTCTCTTAGGGCAACTTCTTAGCGTTCGTTCGCTAATAGTATATAAACCCCGAGATATAAAAATAGAAATATTATAGAGAGCTAAGAATAAAGAGGCTAAAAGAGGGTTAGACCCCTACCTAGTTCCTTACTAAATAGTTAGCGATTTATTATAACCTAAGTATAAAAAATATAAAGAACTTAAAGGTAGAAGTATACTAATTCTTCTTTAAACTACTATCTTAGCTATAGGACGACTTAATTCGTTATAAAGTCTTAATTAAAAAAGTACGCGATATAGCCTACGAAGCTAATAAACTATAATTATTAAATTAGTAAAAAGGCGGTAACTAGTTATAAAAAGATAGTAAGAAGAGGCTATATTTATTATTAGAATAACTACGTTAAATATCCCCTTTTTATAAAAAAAAGAGTAGGGAGAGCTCTAAGGGGCTAGGCTCTAAAGACTTGCTAAGAGTAATATTATAAAAGCTATATAATAAAAATACTCGCGCCGAGCTATTATAAAAACGTCGTAGTAGTAATATTAAGTACTTTATATATAATAAGTTAGACTATATATTTAGTAAATACTAAAAGAATAAGTCGGGAGGTCGGGGTAATAATAAGCCGACGTACCCCTAATCGAAACTAACGTTAATAACTGTCTAATAGGTTACTACCGAGCTAAGAGTTATAAAAGTCGACTTTTTAAAAAACGAATAAGCATAAGTAATATACCTAATATACTTACGCTAAGTATTAAAAAGGTATTAATAAAAATAATTACGAAAAGTAGGGCGATAGTTCTATAAGGGGTCGCTAAAAAGCTAATAAAAGTTAATATAAATATATATTCCGAGATAGATATTATTAGTACTAAGCTTATAACCTACTTAGGGTTAACCCTAGCTACTACTATAGCCCCTTTATTAAGGGATTTCTAAAGTAAAGCCGTAAGCTAAGGGAAGGCCTATTAGTTAACGCTCTTTTTTATTAACTATTATAAATAGCTAAGGAAGATTTAGTAACTATTTGCTATAGTTAATAAGGATAAAAAAATAGTAGACCTTTTATTATTATAATTATTAATAGGCTAGGAAGGTATTTATATTAATACTATAACGAATATATAGTTATATAAGCCCATCTCTATTACTAAACTAGAAGTAATAGCTCGCAATATTATTAAAAATTATAAGAGGGCTTACGTATTATATATCGCTATTATAAAAAGTATCGTAGGGATAATAAAAACTAAACTATAAAGAAGTCTATTACTAAAACTTTAATTAGAGGTAGAGACGTTTAACGAGTAGTTAGTAAAGGGACCGTAGTTATATAGCGGGGTAGAATACTTAATTAACCTAGTTCTAAGTACTAAACCGCTATATAGCCCTATTTATTTATTAAGCGAGAAATAACTTAATAAGCTTCGTACATATATTACTAAGAACTTAGTAAACGGTCGTATTATACTTTCGGTTAATAAGGCTAGGGTACTAATCCTATTTATACTAAAAAAGGATAGTACGCTACGCCTCTATATAAACTATTACGGGCTAAATAAGGTAACCGTAAAGAATCGATACTTACTATTACTTATTAGCGAGCTCCTAGATAGGCTTCGCAGAGTAAAATAGATTTTAAAAATAAATATTAAGGATACTTACTACCGTATCCGGATTAAAAAAAAAGACTAATAAAAAATAGCGTTCTAGAGCCGATATAGCTATTTTAAGTATATTATTATACTTTTTAAGCTAACGAACGTACCTACGATATTCTAGGCATATATTTACCGAACGCTCGCTAACCTGCTAAATACTTACTATATAATATATATAAACAATTTAATAATTTACTTAATAATAAAGGAGTAGTATACGGAGAATATTAAAAAGGTCCTCTAACGGCTACGGTTATACGGGCTTTTTATTAAACTATCGAAGTGCTCGTTTTATTAAAAGAGGGTCGAATTCCTAGGTTATATTATTATATTAAAAAGAATCGAAATTAACCCGTTACGAGTACGAACGATCGCCGATTAGAAGGCGCTAGAGTCTATTAGGGATATCTAAGTATTCCTAGGGTTCTATAACTTTTATTAGAAGTTTATTACTAAATACTCGGGTATTATTATACTAATAATAGTATTACTAAAAACAGAAAAGGGGTAAGTAAAGGATTTTTAGTAAACTAAGGAAGTAAATAAGGCGTTTAATTAGTTAAAGGTCGCTTTTACCTTAGTAACCGTACTTATATATTAGAACTTATAACGTATTATATAAGTAAAAACCGACGCTTTAATTAAAGCTATTATAATAATCTTATCGTAATAAGCTAATAGAGAATAGCGACCCGTTACTTATTAGTTACGGAAGCTCTCGGATATAAAGTAATAATAAGCTACGGGTTAATAAGAACTACTTATTATAATAAAAAGACTAAAGTACTAGGCTCATTACCTCTAGGGCCTTTTATAAAAGTTTATAATCCTAACGGACTACTAAGTACTTAAGGGAGTAATTAGCACACTAGCGCGGGACCTTTAAAAAAGGCTCGCGAAGTAAGTATATAAACTATTAGTATTTAATTTTAACTTAAAATACTAACTAAAAAAAATAAACTTAGCGGACGGTCTATTTAAAAAGCTAGATTATATAGAGGGGGAAGTGCTTTATAAGAACGTCCTCTCTATACTAGCTTAAAAGCTACGTCTTATTAGCGAACTACTACTTAACGTTTAGTAAAAGATAATTAGCTTAAAAAGAAAAAATAATATTACTAAAGTATATATTTAAATAATCGAGACCTCCCTTTACGATCCTAGCTAGATATTAACTAGCTCTAGGGATAGGGAATCCTCTCCCCTATATTAATAGCGTACTATAGGGCGTACTAATAAAATAATAATAGTTATTATTATAATAACTCGAGGTAAAAAAGTAAGAGAGTTATTAATAAACGCTCGTTAACGGTCCGGTAAGGATAAAAAGGAGTTAGATAGAGCTAGGGTTATTATATTAAAATAGTATATCCTACGTCCCGTTATAAAAGAGCTTATAAGGGGCAAAATAGTATTTACTTCCCGTCTCTTGTTAAAAATTAAAAAGCTCGTTAGAAGATTATAAGCTAAAAACGAGTTTTATATATTATAATTAGTAAGAGTTCGTATTATAGTTAGCGAGCTAAGAGTATATTTACTTAACGAATAGGGTATATTATTCTTTAAAAAAAGACTCGTTATCCCTTAAGTAAAGTCTTTTTAGATAGAGATCTTTTATTAATACTACGATAATTATAAAATAAGTTATATAAGAGCTACGAAAACTCTCGAGCTAATTTAAAAAAAGTTTTATTAAGAAGATATTTAATAGGATATTTAAAAATACGTTAAGAACTACGAGTACTACTTAGGAATTATAACCCTAAGATATAAGCTATATAAATAGCTATAATTATTATTATTACTTTTATATCTATTTTAAAAAATATTTATAAACTTTATTACGAGGTTATTACCGAGCGCTCGTAGTAACGGCACTAAGTACGACTATATTTTAGTTATTATTTATTATATAATAAAGTTCGTAAAGTTCCTACTTACTATTAAGACGCTTAACGCAGTATAGATAATAAGTATCCTATATAGGGAGGTCGAATATAAGTTCGGTATGCTAGAAAGTATTATTACGGATAGAAATAAGCTTTTTATAAGCGTATTTTAAAAGGAGTTTACTAAAGAACGGGCGATGCGTTACTAACTATTTACTATATATTACCTATAAACGGATAGCTAAATAGAGCGGACCTATTAAATATTAAAAAAGTACTTAAAGATCTATACTAAAGGCTCGCTAAATAAGTAAGTAGCGTAGTTAAAAAAGGCCGAGTTTACGTATAATAATAACCTATATTTTATTATAAAAGTATCCTCGTATATAGTACTATACGGCTACTACCCTAAGTACGTTAAATATATACCTAATTATAAGGCTATAGTCTAGGGGGTTCGTAAAAAGGTCTAAAAAATTAGCGAGATTAGGGCCTAGGCTATACGAGCCTAGGTATAAGCCTTTAAGAGCTAAGTAGCTTATTATAATAAAAAATATACCCCGAAGGAGTTTAATTATAGAGAGGTCGTCGGCCTATTAATAAAGAATATACGTTTTAAAAATAATAAACTAGTACCGAGATATATTAAAGTAACGATAGCTAAAAGGGTAGGTAAATAGGCTTATTGAGTATATTTACTAAAGTAGTATCGGAGAATATATAATATTTTCTTAGTTTCTTAACTCGAACTATAGAGAAATTGCTAAACGGTCGGTAATTAAATAGCGAATTTCCTAGAGCTAGAAAACGAGTAAGATATTTAAAAAGTTAAAGAAATTATTACGAAGTAAGGTAAAAAAGGAAACTTATGTTATCTCGTTAAATAAGCTGGGTAGCTTACGGAATATAATACGTAAGAGCTTATTAAATATCTTAAAAGCGTAGTAGAAGTAGTTAAAAAATTCGAACGTTATAAAAAAAGGATATATATAAAATAGGATAATAAACGTTAAGTTCGTAGCGAAAGGTCGTTAAAAATAAGTTAATTAATAATACTTTATAAAACCCTTTTTATTTAGCCTAGCGTAACTCTTAAAAAAAAGATATAATATTATAACCCTTGGTAATATGTTACTAAAGGATTACTAAGATTTAATTATATAAGGAGAGTAACTTATGTAATACTAATAATAATAATAGCGGCTCTAGTGTATATTTCTAAGGCGTAATAGTTAATAATAATACTATACTTAGTAAGTAAGAAGCGGAGAGGTTTTATATACGTACTAAGCTAATTACTTAGAATAAGACCGTTAATTTTATTAATATTATGACGGGTAAGAAGAAGGTAGTCGAAGTTGCGCAGGTTATTATATATAATAATAATAATAATTCGTAAAGCGTTCGCTACTTAGTTATTACTAGGAGCTACGATAAGAGGCATAACGGGAGTTATAATAAGAAGTATGACGGGAGCTATAATAAAAAGTACGATAGGAGCTATAATAAGAGGTATAACGGGAGCTATAATAAGAGGTATAATAGGAGCTATAATAAGAGGTATAATAAGAGGTAAAGTAGGGGGCGTAGCGCTATTATTATTATTAATAAGTTAGTAATAGCGGACGTTATTTAAGGCGCTATTCTCGTCCTTTAGGTCGAGCTAAGGGGCCTTAGTAATATTAATATTTGTAAAGAACTTATTAATATCGAACTACTAGCTACGACCCGTAGCTTTAACCTTAATTATAATAATAGTTACGTTAAGCTATTATAGAGCTTTTACTTAGAGTAAGAGGAGCGTAATATTAACCGTATCGAGGTTTAAAATAACGTAACTAAGGGCTAAGGAACCCTTATTTATATTAAAAAAAGTAGTGCGGGTAGGGGTTAATAAGTTATTAACGTTAAGATAATAGCGCTTATTACGATACTAAAAAAGAGAATCCTTTAAATCGCTAAGGAGCTTTTTAAAATTATTATCCTCGCGCCAGGACTTATTAAACTTAAACCTAAAATCGTTTAGCTCGTATTTATTACTAAGAATATAATTAGTAATAAAAATATATTTCTTAATAAAAGTCCGAGTCTCGGGACTATAAGAAATAGGGGTAGCGCTATATATAATAACGATATAAATAAGTACTTTATTTACTAAGTACTTAGTAATACGCTTATAAAAAGTAAAGAAATTAGGAAACTCCTAGATATATATAATAATAACGCCTTAAGGAGTCTTTTTATAATACTAAGCTAGAGCGTCGAGGTTATTTTATAAAGCGGTCGCGCGGCTATTATTATAAAAATAAACTAGCTAAAAGTAATTAAAATAAAAAATAATTTTAGCCTAGTTATTAATATTAATAATACTAGCCTAAGAAAAAATCTAAGTTAGTAAGAGGAAATATTTACTAAACGATTACCGACGACTTATTATAATCGAGATTAATAAGTTTAGATACTCGTAATTAGTAATAAGCTCTTAAAAAGTAGCTTATTTAAAATAGATCTTCTTTTTTATACTACTTATTAACGGGTTAGTAATATAAGTAGTAACTTTCTCTTATATATTAATAATATAGTTAAAAGTATAAAGAACGCGGCCGCGCTTATAAGAGTTAAAACTACTCTATACCTTAGTATTATAAAACTTTATAAGGGTATTCTAAATAAATTAAGTAGTGCTATATAGCTCCTTAAGAACTTAGAAAATATTATTAACTAAATACTTTAATAACGGATTAGCGAGGACTTGACGACTTATAATAAAATACTTTTTTTTATTAACCTAATAAATAATATACTTAGTAACGTAAACGCCGGTAATATAAACGAGCTCGTTAATATTATAATATATACTAACTAAGTAATATATATAGGGAATACTACCGCAAAAACTATAGAAGCCTTTTTTAAAATTATACTCTATATTAAGTATATCCTAAATACGCAAAATAGTAAATATTTTAGCAAATACTTAGTAATAGTATAATAAGAAAATTATAATTAAAAAACGATACGGAATTAGAATATTATAAAAAAAAAAGGTATAGTTATATAAAAAAAAATTTATAGAACGGTCGCTAAATAAAAAGGGGAAAAAAAAAAGTAAATACGTAACTAGTAATAAAAAAAAATCTTTTACTTTACTTAATAGCTTAGTAATAATAATAACCGCGAGGTTAAGCGGGCCCTTATATATTACGACGGTTAGAATATTTTATTATAAATACGTATTATTAACTTAATAACTAGTTAGCGCGCTATTACTAAATAATAATAATAAGGTATCCGTTAAATAATAAGATAGGAGTAATACCTTATTCCTAAGTAAAAAAGGATATTATTAATGTCTTAAGGAATCTATTATGAATAACGACGTTAATAGCTTTATTATTAGCGTTAAAAGAAGATATTATATAATAACTTTAGGGACTAAAGTTACGTAAGGGGGGAGTAATTATAATAAATTTGGGGTACGACCGGTAATAGGATGCTAATAACTTAGCGACTAGTATATAGATCGTATTACAAAAGAACTTTTTAAAAAGCGGAGCCTATATAAAGGACTCCGTAAGCTTTAGTCTTATAATATACCTATACCTATATTATAGCCTCGCTAGTTAAGTGCTCATAGCCTAATCTTTTATAAAAAGAATTATATTTAAATAATTTTTATAATTATTATAGTAGTTTAAAAATCGTGGGTAGGGTTTTAATACGGTAGTTGGGATAGAGAAATGGGGTGGCTAAAAGGGGGGGGTGGCTAAAAGGGGGTGGGTCGACTTATTAACAAGCTATATAAGTGGAAATGTACTTAGAATAGAACCGAACCAGACACGTTCTTTGTCCTCAGCCAGTATGTCATCGCGTCATTGAGTCTGTGAAAGAAGAAGAGGCTCTGTATGCACTCGCGGCCCACGTGACGAACTCTGCCATCCAAAGCCAACAGAAAGCAATCGGTATCAGGGCAATCAACACCCACCATAACTCTACGGTCAGCCGTCGCCTCAACCAGCGTGAACACCTCGCGCCAATCTTTCGTCGATGAGAACACACGGAAGTGCCATAAACTAGGCAGCCAAGTCCCGGCCTTGACTCGCACTCCATGTGTTCACGTCGCCTTTGCATCAGAAGCCTGGTCCAAAGGTTAGATAGAAGTAGCAGGTACGAGACGATGAAAGGCAAAGAAGTAATATCAGGATAGAATTCTGGAACAACATACGGGACACTGCCTCTACAGAAACGTAGGTCGCTGCCAAGGTCACACCGTTTATCGTTTGGACACTCAAGATGAAGCATGCGGCGCTCCATCAGCCACTCAACCTTGAGTCGTACGCCCGTGTCAACGAGGTAGTAGAAGTAGCTGCTGGTGTGTTTCAGTGAGAGGGCGTCGGGGTAGATGAGTTGCTTGGAAATGAGAAGGTGGATTTCTGCGGGCAGATCTGTGAAACCGGCGAGCTGGGTGCGGTCGGAGGCCTCCTTGTCGGCAGACCGGAGCGACCTTTCTGCTGCCGGCGCCGGAGTGGGTCGTTTACGGGCGCGGATGGGTTCCATTGTCGCGGGATTGCGATAGGCTAGCTGCGGATTCGACGTTGGCAGATACGGATGTGGGAGGAGTCACCAGAGTTCTTCGTTGTATTTGTTTCGCGTATTTCTTACGTTCAAAAAATAGGAAGGCTGTGCGTCAAATGATGATTTTCGGGGAGGAGGATTAGAAGGCAACCTATATAGCAACAGAAATCCTGCTGCCTCCGAGTGAGTGTTTATGGGGACTTTGAGGCGTGGCATGTTCCTAGCGTGTCAGACACGAAGTTTCAGTCCGTCCGTCACCAGGAATACGTTGCACTGTCAGCTAGGCAGATACCGACTGTGGCTGGTTTCAGGAACCACTTTGCCAAATACAGGGCGCTTAACGTGGCTGATTTCAACACTGTAGCATTCCCTAGGTTGCCGCGGTGCGCCTCGTTGCGCCTCATTGGAGTCCCGACAAGTTAGCTTTATCGCTGCTTTTGTCCGCTCGGACTCCTGTACTAACAGTTTCGTACGGCGAGACAGCTGCTTCTTGTTAAGGCCAGCATCTGAGGGGCGTTCAGATACTGCTTTTAAGAGTGTTATTCTTACTGAAAACATGGGCGGCTCAGGCTTCCCATGTCAATTAGGCGATCTAGTTCCTGAATGCAAGAGAGACAAGGAACGGATTCTCTCAACGGCTTGATCCACAGGCATGCATTATGCATCATGTCGAGGAGGATCAATCCATAGACACACGCGTCTTTGCTGCGATTATCTAGACTCCAGAGCGAAAAGCGGCGGTTTTCATAGGAGTTCGCACTGCATGCTCACCTGACTCATTTCCCTTATACTGCAAGAAACAGTGTGCTTTAATACGACTGCTTTGTAGTAGGTGATATTGAGCTGCGACTTCCAATTCGACTTGAAAAAGTACAAATCCTGCTCCTCTATGCCAACCCTGATGCCAATGCAACGCTCTCGCTTCTCCCTATGGCTAACTACAGAATCTCCAAATCCACAAAGCACTGCTTCGGCTTTCGCGTCAATGTTTCAATGTCATCATAGTCGGATAGACTCTCATCGCAAGTCCGGAAATCAAACGACCACACTAGCAGAGTCACCAAAAGCCTAAGTTCCAGATATGCCAACTTGCGACCGAAACAGCCTCGAAGACCAAGACCAAACGGCAAAGTCGGCCCAGCCAACGCGTCGAAGACGACCTCACCGTTCTCGTTCTTTGTGAGCCAGCGCTCAGGGCGGAAATCGTCCATGCCGTCAGAGCCCCACACCCGCAAGCCGCGCTCCTCTGCTGCCATCCGAGACGAAGCGCTGCGCAGTTTCTCGTCGACTTCGAAACCTGGTTCTGTGAAACTGGGACCACGGTTGGGAATGAAGACGGAGGTGCCTTTGGGAATATGGTGTCCCAGGATGATTGTGTCCTCCTTGGCTTGTCTCTCCTGACCAATAGCGGTGTGCGAAAGTCGGAGCATTTCTTCGACAACGGCATCCAAGTAAGGTATGCTAGCTCCTGTTATCTCCTCGTGGGTCGGGAGGCGGTCATCGCTAATGGCGTTTGGGTGAGCAGCCCGAAGGCTCTCGCGAAGCTGTTGCTGACAAGCAGGATTATCGCTCAGAAACTTCACTCCCCAGCAAAGGGTTGTACTTGTGGTATCATGTCCTGCTACGACGAAACCAAGCAACTGCATCAAAAGTCGTCAGTCAGTTCTGCAAACAACACTTCTTTGAGAAGAGCCAGAAAAAGTACTCACCTCGTCATTCATTGCATCAGACCAATATATCGGCTTGCGGTTCTCTTTGCCCGCAAAAACAGTTTCTCTATGGATCATCAGATCAATTGCAGACTTGACATAGCTGTCGTCATTGTCCTGAGCCTGGCCTTCATATCTTTCGACAGCTTTCTGAACTTGCTCTTTGAAGAATGCTTTTCTGAAAGTTCTCATGCTTTTCACGCTGGGCTTGAGGCCAATCAGCCACCATGCGATGTCGGGAAATCCTGTAGCAGCAACTCCGGTGACGTTGTCAGCCGTCTTTATAGCCGTCTCCAAAGTTGGATGGATGGGTGCGATAGGAAAGCTGGCGGCCTTTGTGTTCGACTCATCGATACCAGCCTTCTTCTCGCTGCCACTCTGAAGCATTTTAATCTGTGGGATCAGTGCTCGATGTTCCACGCTGGAACCGAATCCAAAGTCGAAGACTGCATCCAGAGCTGTATAGAAGATGTCTTGCTCGGCGCTAAAAGGCTTATCAGTGGCAGCCGTCTTCATCTTCCACAGGTCCAGAAGATTTCTAGCGCTCTTGTAGATGTTCGGGGCCGCGACATGGTTGAGAAAGTTGGGGGTCATAAGGTCCTGGAGCAAGCGTCGGTGGGCTTTCCATTCCGGCCCTGTCTTCAAGTTGATGTGGAAGCTAGGGGCCTCTCCGCCCAATAGGCTGATGGTGAAGTCGGAACGATCGAATTCTTTGCGACGCATGAGGATATCCTGTCCCTCGCGGAAGTCGGCGATGAACACCGTCGGCTTGTGGAAGGGCTGGAGGAAGAACTGAGACAAGGGGCTGTCATGTCGACGCGCTCGTTCAATCATCCATCTGAAAGGGTTTTCGGGTGATTCTTTCTGGAGCCTGGGGATGTCTCCTAGAAGGGACTTGACGACCTCTGTGTTGTATGGGATTCCTGGGATCGGCTTGGGAAGTAGGTAGTTGTAAAGAGCATAAAGCAAGCCGACGAGCAATGTGGAGCCAGCCGTAGCCAATATGCTGAAGGACGGAATTTGGTCCACGGGCGAAGTTGTTGTGGTAAAATTTGACATTTTCAAAGATGCGATGAATATCAAGCTAAGACTAGACCATGCGAGTCAAAAAGAAATATGTTCATTCGAAGTTTCTGCAGACTGGCGACTTTATATCAACAAGGGCGATCGGCACATGAGACCGCGTCCGCGGAGTGCCGACACAGGGTACCATGGACAACGTTGCGGAGCTATGGGCCGCGGAGACCGCACTCTCTTAAGCCAAGAATATGACGTTGTTTGCGGACCCTACGACAACTACCCGACGATGGTACTTCAGTTGCATGGGGGAATAGATAGAGATTATACGTTCGATTTACCTGGGACTGGATAGGTCAAGGCCCTTGAGTGCCGCCCCCAAGTCCCCGCTGTCGTCTCCACGGTCCGGTGGGTTGTGGGTTTACTCCGCGCTTAGACTGCCGGATCAGGAAATATCGTCTCTGGAAAAGAGGCGGACGCGGACTGATGAGTGCGTCCGACGGCGGCCCGTAGCCGGCGGCAGTACGGGGCAAATCACCTAGAAATCTCTACCGCCACTCTGTTGGGAGGAAAAATTGTTGCCAACATGCGGTTGCTCACAAAATTTCAGTAGAGCTCCGTTGTAATGGTACCTATTCTGCAGACATGATGGACCAAGCTTGTGGCCCCCACACCTTCAGAGACTATGAAGACGAATATGCGTTGCTTGCCTCATTGATGAAGAGCTGATGTTGCCTGCAGTTCCTGACGGTCATAGTTAGATCATTAACCTTCGTATAAATGAAAGGTATTATCCATCGGAAAAAGAAGTTCTGTTCATCTGACGAGAACCTGGGCGGCATTCATCTGAATTGAGATTACCTTGCTCTTCACAAATCACTTGTACGGGTTCCATAGTTTCCGTCAGAATGTCATTTAATAACAAGAACATCGCAATCACAGGCACGGCTGGTGTAAAAGACCCAGCTATGGCTGTTTACCTCGCCAGTAGAGGAGCATCATTGGCGATATCTGACGTCCAGTCAGAAGCCCTCAAAGCCGTTGCCGGCAAGCTAAAGACATCCATCCCTGGTATACTCGTTGAAGCAACAGTAGTTGACATCAGTAAGCCCGAGAAGATCCGGGACTGGTTCCAAGATACTAAGAAATATTTGGGCGCCTAGATCGTACCGCTGCCCAACATTGACGGAAGTGGAGCGTCAAGCCAGGTCCCATTTGAGGCCCAGTCTGACCAACGGGGGAGATCTTGCTGGGAATCAATCTTTCGGGAAGAGTGTTTTTCTTGCGAGAAGATCTGAAGCGCATCAGTGATGGCGGTTCCATCGTCAATGCCACTGGTGTTCCCGATTTGAGAAGTTTTCCTGGCCACGGCGCTTCGGCTTACGTCGCCAGCAAACACGCCGTGTTGGGGCTCACGAGAAACGCTGCAAGACAGAAGATTCATTCTAAACAGTCTATAAGCCCAGGTAATAAATACGGAAGAATTGGACAAGGAAAGTACATTACAATATGTATCCAAGTGTAGAACCAAATGATTGAATAAAGATTGTGGATGAAAGCTTGGCTTTCTCCCTTTCCTTATTCTCCCCTAGGATGCATTATCCTGGATCATGGGTTGTAAAGGATCCAACCGCCCGCCTCGACACTCCGCCTCTCTCATTTTGCCTTCCGCTCGAGCCATGTCCTGAGATCCTAGCAGCTTCACCCACGACGAGAAGTACGACCCCAATCCTGTGACACGGCCATGGCCTGGCGGACTAGCCAATCCCAATCTCGCAAGTCTGTTTCTGTCCCAAATTGCGAAGCCCATTCTCCTATACGGCTCGAATCCGGCAAACTTCATGGGCGAATGCGCGTTCCTCCCCATGCTATCCACAATCCATAGACTGTCGGCAGGCAATACCAACGCGGACCTACGAGTATCCGGAGTGGCAGGCATTCCTCGGGACGAAGGTGAGATGTCCTCGATAGAGCTTTCGGGTGATGGCATCCGGTCCACGAGTGCAGTCGCACTATCAGTCTTGGAGGTAGAAAGGTTCTTGAGATAGTCAACTGCTGTCATCACCTCGTGATAAGCGGCCTTAAAGTTGGTACTCGTGCTGTCGTAGAAAGACTGAATATCAAGAACCTCTGTTTTCAAGTCATTTGGCTCTTTTCCCTCCACTTTTGTCCCGAGGAGCTGAGATCTGCGCGCCGCCAAGTTCATTTCGAGTACAACTTGAACTCTCCAGAAAGCTCGAATCATCCGCTGTTCTT